TTATTTGGTCTTTCAACTCTCATTGTAAACACGACTTTCTCACAGGGCTGTCTAAGGGGACACATCTAACCCACTCCCACCCCCACCCAACACCAACTTCTCAACTCAAATCAAGACTCTCTGGACGTACTTTCACAGGCCCTGCGTTCCTCCGTGGCTTTTATTACAGCCTCTTCTACACAGACAGGTGGAGACTGCAACCCAGCGCCTCCTGAATACCATGTCCAGCGAACCACCACTGGAGAAGGAATGCTACTGAGGCCACATAACCCATCAAAAGACGCCAGTGCATTGAGTAACGAAGAGAATGTTCTCAGAATAAAATATTTTTGTTATTAATTCTGAGTGGGTTCTCTCAAAGCAGAGGCTCATCATGCTCTTCCTGGTGACTTGAAAAATGCTCCATGCGCACGGCCCGGCTGTGTCTGAAGGCTGCCCGTCCTGCTGCATCTATGCAGAGTTTCGCCCTCTTTCAGCATTTAAGCACTAACAAGAAAAGTCTACCACCACTCTCTGGTGGGCTTTGTTCCTCAGGATTCAGGCCGTTCTCTTTATCTCCCACAACTCGATGCTCATTACACAACAAAACACACAAGACCAAGTCCCACTACAAAATCCACCCCAAGGTAAAATTCCACATCCACTTCAAAAGGAAACCCCCAAGATAAAATTGCAGGAACTTTTGAAGCCTTTTTGCTGCTTTTTTTTAAGATACATACTATACCAAAGTACCGCCATTTTTGGTACAGAATCGGGTTTTTGCTGGGTACAAAGGAAGTTAAATGAAAGTCTTTGTCTAGCAAAGGCACCGGGGGTGGTATCCAGGGAGCAGCTCCTAACCCCACTACTTCCTGGGCTGCTGCAGGCAGGACAGGCAAGACGGATGCAAACACCGCCATGCAGCACAAGCCCGGATAAAAGGAGCAGAGAATGAAACATACACATTTAAAACCACTGGAAAGAAAAACGAGTTAGGTACCTGATTGGGGGAAAAGGGCTAGGAGGGCTGGGGAGAGAGGAGGAGACGGGGGCATGTGGTTTGTGTCTTTTGTGACTTTACCAAGTTGATGAATTTATAAGGAGGGAGAGAATCCTTGGGAGGTACAAACTGCTAATGGGCTCAGACGTTAACAAAAGGTCAGAGCTTCAACTTTGTGCAGACGGCCTAAGAGGAAAGGTCTGACACTTCACCACCAGAAAAGTAGTACCTGAAAACCCTGTGAAGGGTTTATAGCTCCATTATGACCCAGCCCGGGGTGGTCACCCCAGTTGAGCAGACCGGACTACAACTAGCACAGTGAGAAGGTGGGAAGACGTCAAGAATAGACTGAACCACAGGGCAAATTCCCAATTTAGAGCCAGCCAATCAAGATCATATCCTTGGAGACTAATTTCTTCTCTCTCTCTTTAGAACACAGTTTAGAAGCACCTGGATTATATAACAAACAAGAGGCTCTATCCGTTATAGGAACTACATTTGTGAAGCTTATTTTTTAAATATTTTAACTCTATCTTACACATCAACTGTTATTAATGTGGTAAACCAATACCACACAGAAGGGGGGGATCAAATTAGACTAAAATAGTCTACGGAAACATTTTAAATTTCCATATTGAAGATTCTGGGTACTGGAAAAAATTATTTTCTTAGCACACTTAGAAAGAGTTGTAAAATCATAAAATTACTGACACTGAACCCTTCTCTATTTTCAGATTTAAACCTTGGAAATAATTATGCAATAGCTTAGCCTAAAAGTTACAATAAATCCAAGTTTCAGAGAAATTAGGAAGCAATCTTTAGACAATTATTTTGAAACACGTCTGATGAAACTGTGCGATGTGACAAATGTTTTATTTAAAAGCACGAAAAACAAAATGTGAGAAAGAGCTCCAGTGTCTGGAGAAAAGTTAGCCATTCATCAGGGAACCTGAATATGAACCAGACCCTTCTGGCGAGTGTTGGAAGTGTACAAAGACTCAAAGGATGTATCAGCCAGAATTCAGAAATGCTCTCCTTTATAAACACAGACATCGCGTACTTGCCAAGCTGGGTTTAGGAGACACATTATTCTATGACAACTGAGAAGGTAATCATAAATCTGTAGCTCCAAATGCTTGACTCCTCTGCCCCAAAACGAAGCACAGCCAGGTGAATGAAGAAGGCCCAATCTTCCTTTCACCCTACTTTCCTGTCTCCATTGGCTAACTCTCCCCACGCCAGAGTGTCCCTCCTCCCAGACCTTAATCCCAGGTGGAGCGTGCAGAAATGCCCAATCATGAGGCTAACTCAGCCAAAATCACCACTCAGCTGCCACAGGCATGAGACATCTGGCAAACTGGGTTTCCTTCTGCCAAACTTAGGACATTTCTCTTCTTCTCAACTCCCCAGACCCACCCTCCCCTGCCAGGCCACGATCTCTACGCAATGGCCATTCCCCAGAGCAAGGCAGCAAATAACAAAAGATCCTATTACAGTTGCCAGCTGTGGCTCCTTCGGACAAGGGTCTCCATCTCAAAAGGCAGTACGTGCTCCAAAGTGGTTGCTATGGTAAACGGCCTTCTTTGAAATTGCAGAGGGAAATGGAACTCAAGTCCCCTTACTGCTCCCCTGGCCAAAACTTACAATGGCTCTAGGGGGAAAAAATTCATCACCATCATGCCAGATCATTACTTTCTACACAGAAAAATAAGGTCTTCAGAACCAAAATTGTGACAACTGCTCTTGCTGGGACTAGGGGAGGGGAGAGTTAAGTAGATAATGGATAAAGCCCCCACTCCCCCATTGGGGTCAGGCTTATCAGTAGGGGACACCCGAGGAGCCCCACTCCACACCCATGAAGATTTGTCCATTCTGAACCCATTCAGGATCTGTAGCTTCTCTTGACATTCAAAAAAGAAAAGAAGTCCTCTAAAAAATTTTAAATATATTCTTCTCCATCTTCAAATTGCAGGAAAGCCTCATGAAACATTTCCAAAAGCAGGGAAACGACTTCCAAAGCCTGGAACCACATCAGGAGATTCAGGGAAGCAGGAATACAACAGAGAGAGGGGCTACCTCATTTTACCATTAGGACTGCATAACTACCATGCTTTTCCGCGGTCTTTATATATTGTAAAGTCATTTTTAATGTGACAGTCACTTTTCTGAAAGAAGCCTGCATCAGAACTACAAGCCAGCAATTCCTTTACCCCTAAGTCACTCACTGTCCTTGATGATGTTCCAATTCATAGGGAACAAAGCAAAATCAGCCACAAAAAGTTACTTTTGAAACCTAGAAGAAAATATACAAGGTCCCTGAAGGGGCGCTGCGACTGGATCGAGTCCATACTGGAGCTACTCGCTCAGTGTGTGACATTGGGCAATTCACTTGGCAACTCTGGGCCTCAGTTTCCTTTCCTGAGATCAGGTTGGGCCTAGAGGCTTTCATTTCCAGCCCTTAGATCTTAACATTATAGGAAAATATGCAATTTGGGGCATTTCATTTTATCATGGACTTGGGGGGAAGGAAAACATTTCTGGCAAATGTTATCCTTCGTTCTGCTTGCCTCCATCATAAAATATTTTCACGTACAAGAGCTCAACATAGACTTTTACGGACATTAATTATTGTGTTGTTCTGTGAGATATTTATCACGGAACTGTATGTGAGTATATGCATATATTCTCTCTTTGTATCTCAAATTCAATGTTGTTAAGTCAGACTGGCTTACTGCTGACCCGGTAGTGGGTTTCCAAATTGCGTGAAGGGAAATTGCTCGTCTTTCTCCCACAGAGCTGCTGGCGGACTTGAACTGCCAGAGTGCATGGCCATTGGCATAGCAGTGCAACTTCCTACAGACTACGTCACCAGAGCTTCCACACGGATCTATAAGTGCATGTATGTATCAACATATATAAGCTTAATGCTCATAAAGCAGAGGCATAATTAATAAAATTACATACATACTTAGTTATAGTGAGCGACAATATAAGGAGGCAGTTAGCCTGAAATTTGACACATCTTGAAACTTTCATACATAGAAAAATGATTTTGAAATTGTTAAATATTAAATAAAAAACAGACAATATATATTAACAGATTAACATTTTGGTGAGACTTAAATAAAAAATGCATTAATATTTTCATGTTTTGCATAATTCTACCTGTCATAGATTCATTCTAAAAATATCTCCCATGAATTATTCCTAAAGCATGAAGTCCAGCTCATGATACGAACACACAGAAGGGAATGTTCTAATAAGGCTGAACTACCTTCTCAAGAGGTTAATTTATAAATTTCACTTTTGGAGCCCACAGAATCCTAAGAAAGTGCATTAAAAATATATGTAGACACATATTTTATGCTGTAGTTTCCTAGTACTAAAAACAAATGTTTCCTGTACCAAACTCACATGCTTTCAAAGCCATGGGTATACAGATTAAATTTCACGTAAGCCTCTCCAAAGTCATTTCTACTATAGGTTTTTGATCAATCAGCCCAGCCTCCCTCACAAATTCTATGGCTAGAATATTCTTTTCCAATGATATGACGCTAAATGGTAGGGAGACGTTGGCATCTGAAAGCTTCAAACCCAGGACTTCCTTTAAGCACTGGAATCATTTCTCATCCTTACCCTTCCTCTCCTATATCATTTTCAGGGAAGGTTCTGAGTAAGATATTATATGGAGGGGGGTTTTTTTAATTACTTTGACTCCACTTCTAGTTTTCTCCAAAGCATGTGTCTGTGGTCCATTAACTGGGCCCCCTACGCCTAGACTTAATATAGACTGACTATATGGATAAGAAGTGTGGAGAGAAGGTGCCCAGCATTTCTAGGTCAGTGACGCTCTGTAAAGTCCAACTGCAGGAAAAGGAGCCCCTAGCAGATATAAAGCACATCCAAAGAACATTCAAAAATGTTATTTTCACAAGTGACAAGCAAGGTCTGTCATCACCAAAAGATCTTACTCTCCATCTCCCCCAGTCAAGGAAGCAACTGTCATTGCAAAGTTACTTACGACAATGTGTGCCGGGGACGGAGACCGGGCATCCTTGAGGGCTTGTCTACTCTGAAGGCTTCCTGCTTGAACATCAAGCAGTGGCCATTTCATCTGGAGATACTGGACGGAGGGAACAAAATGAAAAAGGAAAACCGTGAGTTCAGGAAAGAAATTGAAAGCTTAAAAACGTACTAATAAGTCCACAATTAAGGTTGCATAGTGGAGTGTACTTGGGGCGGTGGGTTTGTATATCAAAGAAAGACTTTTTCTTATACTTTTCAAAGAGAGGAGCAAACTGGGGCGGGGGGCGGAGGGCAGGGAGAAAAGTGCAACAATGAATGAATGGAAATCCAAAATCTCTGTAAATGTTCATTAAAATTATTAAAATAAATTTTTTTAAAAGTACTAATAACACCAAACAAAAATAGATAGCATGTCAATAGATCCTTCGTGCTCAACGTGTATATATTGAAAACATGTGAGTCATTTCAAATAAAAGTGGTTTCATTCATAGGTCCCTGTCTAGAAAGGAGCAGTGGTGAGGAGACAGGACAAAGAAGGGAAGGGACATGGGTTATTCTAAAATGCAAACAAAAGGGAATCTCAACAACCTATGTCTTAAGGCACCACCAACTTGTAAATACGCACAAATTAACCTCAAACATAAAAGTAAAGATAAAGCCCATTACGCCTATCCCCCTCAGAAAATAAAGGCACAGGCAACAAAGGGAACAACTTCCGCCTAAAGTGATCCATCAGCTTTCAGAGGAACTTCAACACTCAAATGATCTGACCTCCCACATTATTACAGGGAAAAGTAATGTAAAATGGAATGTTCAGTCACTGATATTTAAACAGATACACTAAGTGCTTCTTTGGTTAGAGATATCAACCTCAGTTTCACAAGAAATCTTCAGACAAACAAAACTTGGATACAATGTTAAGGTCTTAATAAGAACATCAGTGTCAGTCTCATGTCTTCCCGAAGCTAGCTAACTAACGCATTGGTTAATGACTGAAGAGTATCTAAGGAGCCTGTTTGATCTTTTCAGAGACACAGAGCAAAGTTAATAGCTGGCTTAATAGCAATTCTACAAGAAATTGTACTCAATAAACATTAATAAAGCCTTGCTTTGTGCACCACTTTCTTGGCAAGCACTATGCAGACAGAAAGATGTGTGTGCTGGGCAGGCGTCTGCCAAGTGAGGGAGGTAACACGCACACAGGTAACTGAAGAGCAGTGAAGTTGCAAAGCTGTGATGGATACGCTGCACCAGGAGAACAAGAATGATGGTTGAGTGGAAGAGACTGATAAAGATCACAGAGGATAGGACTTCATGTCAAAAGAGATCAACTGCAAAGAGCAGTCCAGAAAGAAGAATAGGTATGACACAGAAAGGATACCCACTGGATTCTTCAAAGACACAACATTTTCTGAAAATTAAAACCAAACTCAGTTGTTTCTGAAGCCAGAAGACCTAAGACCATGAAGTCTCTGTCAAAAAGGCAAACATTTTTTCCAGTTAAGATGGTACGGTGGTTAAGTGTTGGGTTGCTGGTGATTCCTTGTTTTGCGCAGTTGGTGGGATTGTAAAATGGTACCACCACTCTGGAAGGCAGTCTGGTGTTTCCTCAAAAAGACGGAACACAGAAATTCTATATGCCCCAGCTATTCCACTGCCTTGAATATACTCCAAGAAAATTAGAACTGAGGCTCAAATGGAGATTTGGACACCAATATTCATAGCATCATTATTTACCATCGCAACAACATGGAAGCAGATCCAAATGTCCAACCACAATCAAATGGATTGAGAAATTACGGTACATTCGTATAATGGAATACTACGTAGCATGCAGGAACAATGATTTTGAAAATTACTGCCTAACTTGGGAGGAACTAGAGAGCATTATGCGAAGTGAACTAACTCAGTCTTATAAGGACAACTACTGTATAAAACCATCATTGTAGAAATAGAAAGTTAACTAGTAAAACATGTATGAGGATCAAAGGGGGGCAGACGGGTGAGGATGGGCAGGGGGTGAGTAATCATAGGGTCACACAATTTGATGGGTGGAGGAAGAAGCGGATAAATGAAATGAGAAAGATTGGTGTACGTACAAAACTATGTATAAGAACTTTGTAAGCAAACCAGCATAAAATAAAAATTTTCTTTAAAGAAACAAAGCGTTGGTGGTTCTTATATACAAACCAATAAAAAATAATTTTAAAAAAATTTTTAGTTGTTTCAAATTCACTAGCTTCTCTGCTGGAAAAAAGACTGCTATGAGAAAAGACTTGGTGATCTGTTCCTATGACTATTACATTCTTGTACCATTAATGTGCATTTACCTCAACAGTTCTATATTCAAATTCTGATCAAAAGGGGGATAAGGCAAAACAAACATTAAATGCTCAAAAGTTTCAGGACCCATGAAGCCTGGATAAATCCTCAAAAGTATTGCATTGGGATAATCTTAACTCAAAAATATCCCCTTGAAGCTTCTTAAAACCAAACAATATTTTATCAAGGGTTGTACAGAATGCTGGTCTTAAGTGTTAAGCTCTTTAAGATCTATCTATACAAGATCACAATAACAACATCAACTAAAAACTTGTAACAGGAAATTTAAGGAGTAGTGAGCTTATGTTAATGGGAGAGGCCCAACATGGAAAAGTAGCATGAGTTCAATGCCACAGAATTATATGTGCAGAAATTGCTGAACTGGTAGTGTATCCTGTAGTATATTTTGTTAAAAACACACCTCCCCCAACTATTAAAAATCAAGCCCAAGCTCCTCTCCTGAAAGAATTATAGTCTAGGAAATCCTACTGGTCAGCTCTACTCTAACTTGGGATTGCTATGAGTTCAAATCAATTCAATGACACAAAACAAACAAACAAAAAGATACATGCAATGTAGGAACAAGTGTCTTCTGAACGTTTACCAAGATGCCTCTCCCAGGGAGGAAACCTGGTTACCAGCTCTAGGTCTCTGCAATCCTCTGAAGGGACCTCATACAGCAGATTCTCTGGCATCTCTAAACCTCCAGTGTTTCATTAGTACATTGAAGGGACTGGCCTACCTGTCTACCTACCTGGCTGGGGTGGGGGTCAAAAGTTGGTTCAGGTACTAAAAGACTTTTAGGTTTCCAGATCCTAAACAACGAATCCTGATGGAAATTCCCATGTTGTTCTGACAACCGAGCCATTTCCAAACACCTTTTTGGGGGACAATACCATCCCTGATTGAGAACCATTGAAACAAAGGTTTCCCTCAACTTTGCAAGATACTCAAGAGGACCATAAGCATCTACTCAGCTCTGGTTCACGTGCCACCAAAAGATACGGCCTAGAGTGGCCATTTCGCTTCCTAGAAGCCAATCAAACAGGACATCCACTAACATTCACCTCTCCATTTTACCTAGCTAACATCTACACTCCGCCCTCATTCAAAGAAGCATTAAGAGTGTTCCACAAATAGACCTGTTGTCTTTAGTGATCCGCAAACCTGATGTGACTACATCCAATACCTGCCCCCACTGACTTGGGAAACAAACGCTCTGTTTCAGGTGACTGACCCCACCCAAGAACTGTCGTATCAATGCAGAGACTTACAACTCCTCCTTCGCATAAAAGCTTCATTGTGTATCATTCCTAATATCTCCTCGGGCTCCCTGCACCACATATTTTTATGAGCCTGAGTTTCAGCACTCAAGCCTACAATATACATAATTTTCAATTATGTTAGGGCAGCCCAGGATCACTGCCTATATAACATTACTGGTTGGAGGAAATGAGGCTCAGCCCCACTGCCCAGAGAGGGCTAACCAAATCCAGATGGTGGCCTGTAAGCTTGGAGAGACTCCTCAGCGATTGTCCCACCCTCTTCTTCCCAATGCAACTTGATGCCACAGAGGCAGGGTCACCACACACCCCTTGTCTGTGAGCCTGCCATCCTAACTAGTATCCTGAATGAGAAGATGTATTCTGCGGGGGAAGGGGGTAAATATTATGTCAAAATTTTTAAAAGGAAGCAATTAGTGTCCTCTAGAAGTGATGGGTTTCCCAGGTTCCTTCATCTCATCCAATTGGTCCTTATTAATTGGGAAAATAAATAAATAAAGGGGAGAAAAAGGAAATTGGGCACTATTACAGCCTAGAGGAAAATCTTTCTCTTCCTGGAGACATTAAGCAGCAGGAAATTCTATTCTGTTGGGTCCTCCAGAAGGAGGGGGCACCTTGGATCTCGGGAAGGCCTGGAACACCACGTGGGCCTGATTTCCCCAACCACTCAACTTTGGTTTTATATCCTTCTTTTTTTTTTTGTGAGGGGGGGTAGAGGGAGTGAGTAGGTGAGTTCCCACCATCCTACTATAAAAGCAACACTGGGCTCCAGCTCTCCGGCTGCTCAATGTGGAAATTATGAATTGCCTACAAAAACATTAAACTTTTCAACAAACTGCAATCAAATGGGGCTGTGGGAATTCCTGCCTTGAAAACTGTTGAAATGGGGTCTGCTCCAAAAATAAGGCCATCTTGGCTAAAGCATTTCATCCTTTGTTTAATACTAATGTTCAGATCATGGCCCATTAGGGCTTTCCCCCAAATCATATTTTATGATACATCTCAGAGAGCTTAAAGTCAAGCTTCAGACCTCGGAGCAAAGACCCGAAATGTACGCAGCCCCAATGGTCTGGAAGGATTCAAAGGAGTTTTTAAAAGCCTGTTAAATTGTCAGCAAGAAGAAAAAAAAAAAAAGTAAACATCTCTAATTTCTCCTCTTCCATCTCTTCTATTAAAAGGGAGGGAAAGAAAGACATGCAGGAAGGTTTTCCAAATCAGAGGGCCTCCACAGGGTCCCACTTCCAGTCAGAAAACTAAACCAAACTGCAGATGTCACATAGATTCTGAATGACCACAACCCAACAGGACAGAGTAGAATGTCCACAGGGTTTCCAGTGTCGTCAAGGAGAACAGAGGACACATCTAACTTCCACAGAGCAGCTGCTGAGTTTGAACCACTAACTTTCTGGTTAACACGCAATTCTAACCACTGTGCCACCAAAGTCCTTTCACTTCGTATTCAAGTTGAACTGGCAGGACTTGCTCTTCAAAA